GGTATGATCGACTTACGCATTCTAAGTAAAATGATATCATTTTAATGAATTTAATGAATAAAAAAATTAATTAATTATTCATTTTATGAATGTAATAGTTAAAAGTTGATGATATTTGTTGGGTTGTAACTAAATTGTCCACATGCAAACAAGTTATATGTAACAATTTAGTTACAATCCAACAAATATTTATAAATTATCCCATTTCAAATTCCGTGACCCGAGAGTAATTCTAGGAAGGTTATTTTTGTCATTTCACCCAATTCATCTTTATATATTAAAAATGTCATCAATGAGATTTGAACATTGATCACTTAAATGAAGATAGAGCATTATAACCAACTAGACCACTTTATATTTATTGTTATTTCTTTGATTAAACTCTAGAATATGTTCGGTGATGAGTGTACGTGGCCACAGGGCCGGGCCGCCCACGGGTTAGCACGACACGACACAAGCACAAACATGAAATATTTAGACCATCCTTGCCCGAGTTGGGTCGTGTCGGGGCTAATATTTTCCAGATTTTATTGAGTATAAGAACATACATTACATGAAAATAATATTTATTTGATATAAAATTAATATAGAAAGAATTAATAATCTACAAAAGATATAAAGGCAAAACATTGATTGACTTATCAGAGATTCAAATTTCCAGTCAACAGAGAACTTTCCGGAGGGGCAAGAATGTCATTACATGTGGTTCATTTCACCATTTTTTTAGGGTTAATAGCATTTTATACTCCTCTACTATGACAAGTTAACAAACATGTCCCTCTACTATTCTTTTGCACTTTCGTACCCCTTTATTATTGCAACGTAACAAAGTTACCCTTCCATCACTATTTCCATTAGTTTACCGTTAAATGACATGTAAAAAGACTACATTGCCCCTCTATTTAATTTATAATATATTATTTAGTTTTTTATTTTTGTTTCCCCTTTCTGTGGAGGAGGATTCCAATCCAAGTTTTTTGTCTTCGACTCTTCGTATACCTTCACCACAGTCCCCCTTCATTTTCACTTTCGGCAATGTCGATGCCAAGCTTTTCCTCTGGCATCCAGTAGGCGTCCGATGAGTGTCAATAGCGAGTTTATTTCTTCCCCGCTGCTCTGCCATCACCAGCCTTCGCTCCCCTTGCTCTCTCCTTCACTCAACTCTTCTCCGGCACTAAGACCCAAGTAAGAGAATTTATAATTTTACATACAAGAACTTAAGGGTTTCGCAACACATTGGAGGATGATGTGGAGGGGAAAGAAACCCGGAGCCGATCAGAACCGCAACAAACCAAACCCTCTCTCGAATCAATTGAAAAATAAATAAATTCCTCTGTTTTTTTCTTCTCTCTCTACTGGCTGTCGGCTGAGTTCATGAAGATAAAGGTTACGACATCAGCATGTTGGTTGAGGAGTGGGCTTCCTCCTCAATAGAAATTGGGGAAAGAAATCAAAGGGAATTGGGATTCCTCATCGTTAGAAATTAGGGAAAGACATAAAATAATAAATTAAAGAGTTAAATAACTAGTTATGTTTCTATGCTGAAAAATATAATAATTATATTATAAGTAAAACAGTGGGTAATATAGTCATATCACTTATCATTTTAACGGTAAACTAACGGAAATAGTGACAGAAGGGTACGTTTGTTACGTTGCAATAACAAAGGGGTACGAAAGTGCAAAAAATAGTAGAGAGGCATTTTTGTTAACTTGCAATAGCAAGGGGCATAAAATGCTATTAACCCTTTTTTATGTGTCAATAAATTTGTAGACCCATGCAAGATAAACCTTATTATATATTATGATTCTTCATGTAAATAAAATAGTTTAAAGAATGAACAAACTCTATACTCACTATGTAGGTTGAATGGATTTTGACTCTATCATTTACAATAACCGGTACATTTATAATATCGTGATGTTTGAAATATTATTTGTATTGTTTATAAGTATACTCATTATTTGTCCCATCACTGGAAGTAGGATGAAATATAAGATTATATCTAGTATTCAAAGTTGTACTAAGCAATGCAGTTCAAAGCGTGATTCTACCTAGAAGCGGGAAATGGGTAGAATCGTAAAACGTAGAATCAAATCATAAAAACGTAAGTTTTTTACGCACCCTCTAAAATAGCTAAAATATGTTAAGTACAACATATAGTATGTAAGACGTGAGTGTGTAGATTTTATATAAGTGAATAACTACATGAAATTCATAATTAAAATGTAATATCTAACACATAAACTGATTTGTGTTGACTCAAAAGTAGAGAAAACTCATATCTTAATAATAAGGTCATAAACGTAGACCGTAACCCGTAAACGAGCTTGAGAATCTAAATTCTCATAAGCTGGTTTGAGTTTACACAATTACATACGATCAATTACCTATAAAATTTTATCGTAACCCAGGTAAGAGCCACAGGTGAAGATTAAGGGAGAAGACTGATAGAAGGTCAACAGTTGTTGAAATTACCATTAGGTGTCTTTTTAACCTAATGTGAAGCCCCTATCTCGACACTAGTTGTAGAACGAGTGATGGATCATGTTTTCCTTTTTATATTCTTTGTTGATATGTCTCCAAAATTACATCATTTTGGGCCAATTAGCATAGTTAGTAAATACTCCATTTAATACACGTATATGTACTCGTACATACTTTATTCGTTTAAAACTTATGTATATGTATTATTGTCAAGCCGTTTCATTTGTTTCCGTTCATTTGATGGCTCCCGTACTAAACACGTATAAAACCCGTATAACACGTTTAATATCCGTATTTAATGAATTAAATTATAAACTTTACTATTTTTTATATATTTATTTATTTTTAAGAATAATTATTTTATATATTTATGACTATTACCGTATTATTAAACGTAACATTAGCTCAAAGACGAAGTAAAATACACATACGTATTTTATACGTAACTTTCCCGTACCGTATTTTACTAACTATGCCAATTAGCACATTTTTATGGATGATCAAAATCTTATAAAAACGCTTCAGAATCGCGATTTTATCGATTTTAAGAGATTTTACCGATTTTACCCATGCTTTTACCAGTTTTGTGACTAACCGACTTTAGGTAGAAACTAAAACGTTTTGGTGGCCTGGATACGTAAAAACGTAAGTTTTTACGTTTTAATGCGCGATTTTGACTACACTGGTAATGAGTGCATTGATTGAGTGTCTTTTAACTTGGTGGTATGAATGAGGATACACTTATTCATCCAAATGTTTATAGCAGTGGATTTAGAAAAAATTATTTATGTTAAAATATCTACATATAGTATCAGACAATCATACCCATTGCCACCAATTGCAGCACCCATGATCCAAATGGCCATATATATTTTCAATACTCATGACTATTTTTTCCTGAAATCATAAATATTTTGTATAAAATTATATTTTCACAACAAGTAATTATATGTTTGTAGAATTAAGTATTTTATTTAATTAAAAATTCAAAGAAATACTTAAAAATTAAGATTTGGTCATTATAATAGCCTTCAACCATTCTAATATGCCAATGTAAGCTATTATCAACCACAAATTTGTTTGGAGATATATATTTGTTACTAATGAATTAGTATTTGATAATTTATATCTTTTTAATTATTACATTTAGATTGATTTTTCACCATATAATTAGAACAAAGTAAGTGGTAAATTTTAGCTTTCCATATTACCAATTGGTCAATTCCTTGAAGTTTGTAATGACTATTAAGCTCGATAATTAGTTTGGTGTGATTGGCCATTTTCATCGAGAATTGTGGGATCCTTGTGAGTTTGTGAGTTTCATTATATCTCCAACAGTCCAACTTTGGTGACGACCATTTTTAGTGAGAAGGAGTCGAGATTGGAGTGGTTGCGGGGCAATATGGAGGTTATTTGAAAGTTGTTTTTAGTGGTCTACATCAATATCGTTTTACACTCTCCCCATTCGGAATGAAAATTTTCGAATTATGTCCTAAAAATATGTTCTCATAAGCAAGAAATACAGTAATGCTTGACAGATTAATCAATTCATCGTTTGGTGGAATCATTGAATTGGTAGTGCTCCCGTTAATGAAACGACATGATAAAAATATGTCTTTGAAAGTACCTGTAAGATAAATAGATGAGCTATTATTAGTGTGAGTATTTCATTTAGTTCAAATACAAAATTTTATATACCTGGTGTTTTATTCCTTAAATGTTTGAACTTTATTTGAGGCTAGATTTGATGAATCCGTTTATGGTAATTGCTTAGAATTTTTGTATGAACTTATATATCTATTGAAATTTAAATTATTGTTGTTTGCGAGAGACCGCTAATGAACGTTCCATAAAAACTTGGGCATTGATAAATTGGTTAAAGCGCTTGCTAATTTGGGACATGGAATTGGCTGAACACATTTAGTTAGTTGTGATACCAAGTAAACAAGGTAGTGGTTGTGTTGTTCTAAGTTGTCACACGAGTTCATACAAATGAACTTAAAGGATAACTTTAGTATATGTGGCAATTGAATAGTATAATGAGATAGAGTTTTACATACAAATATAAGTGGGGAGCTAGGAATGGATTTAGAGATTGTATTAGGTGAAATTTGAGTTCGTTTATTTATGTGACGAGAGTTAGCATTGGCATAATTTTCTTTGTACCAATGTTTTAGATAGTCATTAATTGAAGTTTTTCGAAAGCGTTAACCATCATATTTTCCATCAAATGACAATAATTTTCTTTTATAGTGAAGATTTACTATGTATGTATCATAAGAAGCAACTCTCACATTGTCATTTGTGGACTTTTTTTATATAGTCAACACTTTGTTTGTAATCATATATTTTACTATTAGTTGCATTTTCTTTGTTAGTCATTTGGTATTTCTCATGTTCCAATGCGTTCAAAGCATATAAAAAGTAGTTTGAGTATTGTGTAGATAGTTTATGACAAAATATAAAGCAAACACCCATTATCCGTGTCATTTACAAATTATATAATCATCAAACTCTTGTTGGTTGGGCATTGTGCTAGTATATTTAAGAAGCTTTAATCGTTTCAGGCCACTAAACAGGACTAGGTGGCTCTCATAATCCGAATTTGCCTCCGTTTCAGTCATCGTTTTTCCCCCTCGCATGAAGAATTATGAGAAGTATAGCAAATTTGACAAAATCTGGCATGAGATTTCACACCAGAAAAGAACATCTGCATCCATCCACATCTGTACGAAGGATTATACTTCCCATTCTCACCCTACCTTAGAAAACCCAAAACCCATCAGCTCAAAAGTAGCATCCAAGAATAAACTACCAGTAAAACCTAACAATGAGTTGCATCCAAGATCAAGCCATGTTTGTAAGATCTCCCTCGAATTCCTCCTCCATCCAAACAGGGGGGCTATCCACCATTAAGAAGGGCCTTAAGCTTGTCTCTTGGTGATGGACTTACAATACACATGAGAAAACTTGGCCGAATATTGAGCTATTTACCAGATGCACTTACAAAATTGAACTACCTCGATCTTACTATATTGATTCATCTTCTCCATTACTCGTTTGAACGAGCCTCTGAAATCTAGCAGATAACATTTCATAAGACTGAGCCTGCGATTGGTTGACTTTTCCAATTGCATGCTTCAAATGCCGCATTGTTACTTCCAATGCATCAATGTTTTCCTGGTAGTAAACAAAGTTCTCAAAATCAGGAAACAAGTGAAGAACATGCAAACAAGTTATATGAAAAAGAACAGGAGTTAAAGAAAGAACCGCGAGCGCTGCAATTGCTGCTTCGTGGCATATAAATGATATATCAGCTCCTGTGTAACCATGTGTTAGACTAGCTAGTTGTTTCATATTGATGTCTGAACTGCAAGGATGTTTCCTTAGATGGATAGAAAATATGGCTTCCCTATCTGTCTCATTTGGAGGTCCCACGTATAGCAATCGATCAAAGCGTCCTGTTGCATGCATGCCAACATAATAAGGAAAAGAAGTATGATGTGAATCAAACAAATGTAATTTACACAAAGAGAGACGAATTTGGAGTACCTGGCCTTAAAAGGGCAGGATCAATCTTGTCTGGACGGTTTGTGGCTGCAATAACCGTAACATTCACCCTTTGGTGCAAACCTAAAACAAATACAAAATCTGTCTGTTCAGAGAAGGCAGAAGCTTCAACACGATGATTATGTGTTTGTTTTGGCTAAAAAATAAACAACTTCAAAGAAGTTGGCTTAAACAACAGCTTTTTCAATCCAACTTGTCAAAACTACTTAGCCGGAGTTCCACGAATTGTTACTATTTAGGAGTATTTCCCATTGAATCTAGTTCCTACACAATTGGGTCTGATCGATATCTAAACACTTTCCCTTCCTACCACCTCCCGTAGTTAATATCTACTACCAACCATCTTAGTAAGACTAAAATTTACATCAGGCTTGCCCATCCTAAAAAAATTGAGCTCTGCATCTATTGCATGCAAGTCAGACTGACACATTTTTTCTTCACTGGTGCAAAAACTTGGGAAAAAGTCACCTTCAGGGCTAGATTACTCACCATCCAATTCACCCAGAAGTTGAGCCATGACGCGGTCAGATACTGAAACTCCATCGCTCTCCTTCCCACGGATGACAGCAAGAGCATCAATCTCGTCGAAGAAAATAATTGATGGGGCATTTGCCCTGGCCTTTGCGAAAAGGGACTTTACAGCCTTTTCAGATTCACCAACCCATTTGCTGAAAAGTTCTGGACCCTTGACAGCAAAGAAATTCAATCCAGCCTCAGATGCTACTGCACGTGCCATGAGGGTTTTACTACAACCAGGAGGGCCAAACATCAAAATTCCACTTGGGGGACGTATGCCAATGCGTTGGAACGCATCCTGATGTTTTTGAGGCCATTCAACTGCCTCTATTAGTTGAGCTTTCACTTCTCTCTGGCCACCAATATCTTCCCATTTAACTTTTGGTACCTCTAGTATTACCTACAAGTACATACAACAGGTTCAGTAAATGAAGAACTTGGATAAACTACACTTGATGCTATGCTGAACTAAGCATACCTCTCGCATGGCACTAGGCCTCACTTTCGTCCTGGCCTTTTCAAAATCTTCAAACACAACTTTTAATAACTTTTCTTCAACTGGAAACACGTTGTCACGATCATTACTTATACGATCATCAATATTATCGGCCACTGATGAGAAAGCAGCACTTAAGCTAGAAGATGCTGGAACTTGTGAGGAAACAGGTAAATTAGAGACACTCTGAGATCCAGAATCTGCACAAGATGATGTGTCGAAATGCGAGTTGTTGCCAGATTTGTCTACTAGTTTGGAATAACGCCTAAGACATACCAAGGCGGCTTCATTACAGAGTGCAGCTAAATCAGCACCTACAAAGCCATGTGTGGTCATGGCAAGATCTTTGGCTTGCAAATCTGAAATTAAATGTTCCATTTCACCAAGAATAGTCTGGAGTATCTCTAATCGCTGTTGAGCTGATGGAACACCTGCATGCAAAAAGGAGATAGTTAAAACATGAAAGTACTGAAGTTTCAAAAGAAAGAAGGACAAACCATATGATAATGACCTATTTCAATCTCTCTATCAAGTCTTCCAGGCCGTCTCAGAGCAGGGTCAATGCTATCAGGCCTATTTGTTGCAGCAACAATGAGCACCCCATCAGTCCTACTAATACCATCCATCAAATTCAATAGTGTGGCTACCATTCTTTGAGATAGCTCATCACCTCCTTCTTTGCGTGCAGGTGCAATGGCATCCAACTCATCAATGAACACCTACAAAAGGAATACATATTTTAAAAGACCCATTGAACCATCTAAACCCTATTCATGCAAAGGAAGGACTCATTCCTGAAAAAGATTTAAGTGTCCATCATTTTACTTATACGATATAGAAGATTCAATGGTTATACATGAACCCTCAGGTGGTAGAGAAAGTAATGATTCTTGGGGGGGGGGGGGGGGGGGGGGGGGGGGGGGGGGGGGGGGGGGGAATTGACGAAGAAACATATCTTACCATAGCAGGTACAGCTTGGCTTGCAGAATCAAACACTTCACGCATTGCTTGCTCACTCTCTCCTTGATATTGACTAATTATCTCGGGTCCATTGACAGTGAAAATTTTTACAGCTGCATCATGGGCGCATAGTCGAGCCAAAGAGGTCTTTCCAGTGCCAGGTGGGCCATGAAGAAGCACTCCCTTCATAGCTCGTAAACCAAGACTACAAGAATTGTATCAACAACAAAAACAGGAAAGACTAGTATATATGATATACCTATATAATGCTGCCTTGATAAATAAAACTGGAAAACTCTATCACTAACAACAGATGTGACAAATCTTAAACTTCATTATCAATTAACAAAACGCTCAGAAATTGAGTGTAATCCAGATTTCAAAAACTAATTAGGTAGAGTGATGCAGGACCTCTGTAGTACAAATAGATCTTTTGCTTAAGTTCAAAACAGGACAAAAAACAATATGCAAACAGACACTGCAAACCAGACTCTTCAGATGAGGGTCACTAGATACCATGCTAAGATCGCAGCACCGTGGTAGAATTATCGCAGATTAGAAAATTGCATCCCACATTTCACAAATTTGCATACAATTACCGCAGATGCTTAAATTTACTTTATTAAATGCAGCAGACTGCAAAATAGCTATTTCACAAAGTTTGATCCTAAATCAACCACCAAACTTACACTACAACAAACTTGAAGCTGACATCTTACCCTTTCTCATTCCATAAGAAAATAAAGGAAGACATAAGATAATAGTAAGAGATGTCAGATACAATTATAACAGTGTAGGACAGCGAGGGTTTATCTCAAATTAACAATGCAGCATGTAAAGCTGCCCTAATAACAATGTGTTCATAATAATGTAACTTCATCGAACCATTATAAAAAAAAATGTAACTTCAATCGACAGGCGAAACTCCAACAGATTTTATTTGCAATCAGAAACATTGACCACCAGAACCTAACTCAAAACTACATACCTTGATAAAGTGTTGTCCATTGAAAATGTAATTATCTGCCTCAAAACAGCATATTCTTCACATAGGCCACCTAATTTCGGCACATCATGTCTAATGCTTTTCCCAGTCTCACTTCCAATTTGCATAGATGGAAACATCCTTTTCTTAGGGGTTTCATCTGCTGAGTTTTCTGGCTTACAAAAGTACACTTGTGTTTCATGATTCAAGAGCATAGCATCATTCCCAAGGTTTACCAATTTCGGTTTTTGGAAGTAAATACTGTTCCTTTCGCCTATCATGGCTTGGCCGTCATCATTAGCTGTAAATTTGCTATAATTCGTTACACGGAAAATGACGAGCTCCGACATCACTGGGATGGCAACAAGGTTCCCACAAATCAAAATACGAGAGCATAACCATGAAGCAGCAGACACCTGCAGAAGCTTTTTTGCATTTTCATCCTTAAGTACCTCGCTAATCTCAAATGAATCAGCAAATGTACCCTGGGGATATGATAAACTAAACCCTGCTTCTTCAGGTTTTGGTGAAGCTACATGACCAGAAGAACTAGGAGATCTTTGCTTTGTTTGACACGATGGTGTCCTAGGAGATGAAAGTACACCATTTGCAGATGAATCATGTGGTTTTCCTCCGCTTATCATTTGCACTCTATCCTTCAAAGGGGCTAGGTCCAAGTACAACTCATTGCAATGGCTAATACATAGTTTGGCTCTATCATCTCGTTTATTAATTTGATTCATCTGACTAGTATGGTCTATAGGATAAATATAAGCAACCGTGTCAGAAACAGGACACCCCATTGTGTACCACAGATCTGTGGACAACCGCACTCCAGTCTTTACGACCTGCAGAAAGATTAGTTGTCACTCCAGTGAGCCAATGATGGCACTTAAACCACAGTCGATGAGTATAATGCAAATATTTGGTTTGCAGAGAAATCTAACTGCTGTTGTAACAGCGAAATGGAGAATCAGTCAAACCTTGCACGAGGGAAAAGCAGTAGCAAGTGCAAAGTAGTTTCCAGCTGCATAAGTCAGTTCATCCATCGAGTCCAGGCCAAGTTGTGTACTGGATTCACTCGATATTTCTCTGAGAGGAAAAGCATTACTTGCTGAAGCAGCAACTGAGACCTGCAGTAGAATTAACATTAGATATCCAGCAATAGAACATGATAAAGACACTAAAGCAATAAACTTGTACAACTACATCAAAGAGAAACGAAAACTAGACGATAGTGATTTACCGAGACAACAGAGCCAGGGAGAATAGAGGAAGCAACCATGGAAGACTCCGAGAGCCAGATTTTACCACCTCTAGAATCAGGCACTACATCGGTAATTCGGCCAACCAAAGCGGATTTGTCAATCAAATGGGGGAATCTGCTCGATGCTTCTCCCAAAGAGAAGGATACATCTTCCTCATCAAGTTGAGAACTCGGAGATGGTGTGAAAGACGGTGTCCGAGGCGAAGATGCAGAAAAATCCGAATTCGACAGCCTAGACTGTCCTTTGGACTGTTGCTTCTTAGTCTTTGAAGGCATTTATTCCTTCTCGCTCCTTAAAAAAACCAGCCTAAACAGAGGAAGCAGCTGCAAATCATCAACACGGTCAACAGTAAGGGTTTCGCTGAAGCACTAATCATTCAGGACAAATGACCTCAGAGATACAGAATTCTTGGCCAATAGCGACTAAGGAAAGACAGCCTGTTGATTTCTCTCAATTACAATATGGAGGGTACTATATGTTCTCTAAACATGCAGAACGAGATCCAACAGGAAACACTTAACCCAGAGATGAGAAATTCAGCAGAAGCAGAAGGAGAAGCAGACAGCTGAGAAAAGGAAAAAAAGTGAAAATAGGACTTGCTTGACGATGAAGAGGAGCTTCCTTATTTTATCTATTCCAGCAAGATAAGAGAGAAGGGAGAAGGCGCCGGACGAGAGGGAGACGGCAAGGGTGACTTCTGCTTCAACCGATGGTCGGCTTTGGAGGGAGAAGGAAGCGCGAGGGTTTTGTTCGCCAAATCCCGAATTGCAGAACTTAAAATTTTGAATACCTAATAAGCCCCTAAACAGCCTAGTTATTCTGCTAACTTGAAAATTCGTTAGTATATACTAACTAATATCCAAAATATATGAACTAATATCCAAGTCTGCTGAGTATCTAGATAACACATATTAGTATTCAAAACATGACAAACTAGTATTCAGATAGCAGATACCAACTAATATCCACAATCAACCAACTAGTATTCAATATGGATACTCTTATGTGTTATTTGGATACTAAGTGTTATCGGGATACTAATTATGTGTTATATGGATACTATTCTGTATTGTCTAGATATTAGTTTGTGAATTTGGGATAATAGTTGATTCATGGTGGATATCAGTTAGCAAACTTTGAATACTAGTCTGTGCTCTCTAGATACTTTAGTACTTGGATACTAGTTCATGTATTTTGGATATCAGTTAGTATTTGCTAACGTATTTTCAAGTTAGCAGATTAACTTTCCCCCTAAAAACTACGGCTTCCCTCTTTTTTATAGAAAATCACTTAAAAACATATCTGAATCATTATCAGTCGTACTAATATTTGAACGGGTTAACCTTTCAAAAAAAAATATATATATATTTGAATGGGTCAAGATCAGGTGACTAAGGGGGTCCCTTACTCAAATGGCTAAGTGAATCTCAGCCACTCAAACTCATTAAAATCCAAGAGTTCCAATTAATCCAATTTAATGAAGGATAATGTGGTAATTGCATGTTTGTTTATAAAATTAAAAAAAATGCAAGCGCTACGTCTCCGTCCCCTTGCACCGGCTAGTCACCGTCCTCCCCCGTTTGCGCCGATCAGTCAAATTTTCGGCGGCAGTTCCGTCCAATTTTGGGAACATGCATGCTTCCTTTAATTCCCAGCAGGACAGAGAGATCCAATTTGTGGGAACATGCATGCTTCCTTTCCTAGGAATTTTCCTAGAGAGAGAGAGTTTTTTCCGGCGACCGGAGGAAATTTCCCGGCGACAGTGTTGGATTTGTGATGTTTGCTGATCTATTTTGTAATGTTTGTATAGATTCGGTTTGTATTGTTTGTCATTTTTAGTGACATTTTGTATGGTTAGTATGCTTTGTACTGCTTGTCAGTTTATTTTGTAATGTTTGTATGTTTTGTTATTTTGTAATGTTTGTCGGTTTTTTTTGTAATGTTTGTAAACTTTGTTATTTTTGTGCACCATGTTTATCATTTTTGTCAACCATGTTTGTAATGTTTTTTATGTCTAAAAAACAACCTGGTTGACTTTTGGATGGAACTCCTCTATATAGGGATGGAGCCTCCAAAGTCAACCCGAGTGTTTTTTCTAGTTCGTATGGATTGTCGGTCTAGTTTATCATTTTTGTCCACCATGTTCGTAATGTTTGTATGTCTAAAAAACAAACGAGTTGACTTTGAGACGGAGCCCTCTATATAGGGATGAAGCCTCCAAAGTCAACCCGGGTGTTTTTTCAGTTTGTATGAATTTTTGGTCTAGTTTGTCATTTTTGTCCACCATGTTGGTATGTCTAAAAAACACCCGGGTTGACTTTGGGAAGGAGCCCCTCTATATAGGGATGGAGCCTCAAAACTCAAAAGTCAACCTGGTTGTTTTTTCTTTTTGTATGGTTTGTATTGTTTGTCGGTCTAGTTTGTATTTTTTGTACAGTTCATATGTTTGTAAATTTGTTTGTATGTTTTGTCGCTCTAGTTTGTACTGTTCGTATGTTTGTATGGTTTGTACTCATTGTAAGGCCGGTTTGTATACTTCGTAATTTTCCATAATACCCAAACTACCCATGTCATCAAACCATACATATAAGGAGGTTCTGCTGCTGCACCCACTTAAATCCCTTTTTCTTGACTCATGCGCAAAGCACGGGATGGCAGTTTAGTCTATTCCTTATTTTTCTTTTTTTACTTTATTCAACGGAGCTTCTTGGTTTTGGGTTTAATAATTCAGAAGTGCTTCTATATTTGCATGCAGGCCCAATTTCATTTTTCTCTTTAATTCAGCGGGCCACTTCCTCTTTTAAGTTTTAATTCAAACAGGTATATAGTTCCGGGCACGGGCAGATAGAAAAGAAAAACATGTTCTCTAATTTAGGGATTACAATGGGTTGGAGGTGGATAATGCATATCTTATTCGGATATATGTTATCCTATTTAAAGTACTTTGGTTTTAATCCATACCCACATAAGAATTAGATGGGTTCAGGTTGAATAGTGAGAAACCATACACACTCATTATCTGCAATATTCAAATTTGAGTTTTACCCGTAACCAGTTATATCATATTACTGATAATTTTGTCATCCCTACTCTAATTTGAGTTTGACCCTACCCAATTATATCAGATTCAGACGGATATCCACGATTACTGATAATTTTGACATCCCTACTCTAATTTCACTTATTTACTAGCCACCATAAACTTAATCACCATGAATTTTCTTCAATAATTGCATTTATACAAGAGAATCATGCATCTCATGTTCATGTTTGAATCTTAAGTAATTAATTAAGGTTTCATCATCAACTATTTTTTATATATAAAATAATTAGACTAATATTCTTGATGACTACATTTTTAGTAGTTTAATGCTCCCAAAAATTATTTCTTATAGAGAATCACCCAAACAACCAAATATTGTGATTGACTTTCTTTTTTGACAGATATTTTTTAATTATATGCATCTTACGATTTAATGTGTGTTCATGTAACATTTGATTTAGAAAAAAAAAGAGTCAGCTTCATACCACCAAAAGGTGTGATTGACTCTCATCAGTCTCTATCTCTATCGAAGCACAAAATAAGTTTTATAATGGTATGACCGTATGAGCATTGATGAACTATCAATTATTTATAATCTTTCTAACTATTTCACACTGTTTGATTTTTAAAAAAAAACATCACTCTACATTTTAAACTTTCAAAAATTAATGAACATAAGTCAGAGTTGTAGAGAATTCATTAATAATTGACAAAATTATCAAGAACAATACGTGCTCTTTATTAAAGGCAAAAACGTATATATGGAAAAATTATCAACATTGTTACCGAAAATCCTTTATAGTGAGAGAAGTGTTTGTTGGTGATGAATATAGTGAAGTTTCTTGACAGTAAAGAGGTACTGATATTGGGCATTTGGAATACCTGTAATATCGTGTCATTAAGTTTATTATAAGTTTATATACCTTTGCACGAGTTCTATATTTTTTTAATTTTTTTAACAACAATCAGTATAGAACGCAACGATTACAATGGTAGTAATCTTTCTTATGGATGATAATTTCCTATTTTCCAAGCAATTGAAAAAATAGACTTTCTTCATGGTAAAAATGAGTTGTCTTCCTATTTTGTAAAATTGATATCATTGTTTGTTAATTCGCATGACATAACATATAATCATAGCACAATTATATGAGAAGAAGATATTACTGAAATTTAAATTTTAAAGTTTTATTAATTAGTTTTATTATCATATTGCAACCGGCCAACGGGCCGGGGTACAATCTAGTTAGTTAAATAGTCATTCCCACTTTTTAACCATCATATTGCTATATCCAGATCTAAGAGCTGGGAGGGGCTTAGTCAAGTGACTAAGCACCCCCTTACTCACTGGATCCTCTCTCATTTTAAAGCCCTACCGTACCAGGATGACACACAGAGCCCTAGCCCCAATTCAAACCTAAATCCTAGAAACAAACAATCCCTCTCCCAGCCTGCCCATATTCGACAGTCAGATCACCTTCCTGAAACCCACCACCGCCTAACCCATAACCCTCCGCTGGCATACTCACCTCCTCATGCCGCCTAACCCACCTCCCTCACGTCGGCAAACCCAAAACCGGAGGATGAAGAAGGAAGACTGAGGTCGAAGCAAAGAACCCTCCCGCCGTTGGATGGAGAACGAAGAAGGAAGGAGGAGGTCGGAGCCGCTGCCGCCGTCGATTTGCTAGCGACCTCGAATTGGCGGAGCAGCTTTCTCTCTGACGCGCTGGTTAATTAATCTCTAGACCAGGGCGAATCCTTCCTGTTGGTTTTGCAGACGAAAAGCTCCTTCCATTTCGTTGCAACCGACGACGATTTGATGACCTTGTTGTACGAGCACCTACAGTTAGTAGGTGCCAAGTTAATTTAATGGCAATGGCAATGCAATTATGCCGCCGACGTCTACCTCGTTGGCCAGTTACATGGATCACTACCAGAGCAGGCGCGGGGAGGATTCCAGGTTGCAGATATCACAACATCCAGATGCTAGCCTCTCACTTGCTCAATTCCAGGCGAGATGCAAGGGAATTCCTCTTAGGATGAAGTTAGAGTTTATAGGCCAGTGAACAATTATGAAATAATGATGTAAAATTAGTGACCAATAAAGAAGAAAAAAATTTTGAATGGCAAAAATGAAACAAATTAATAAATCGAGTGACCAAACATGCAATTCACCTGAACTAAGGACATTAAAGTAAATTTAACTTAGTTAGTGTGACGAATAAATATTTTTAGCGCGATAAATAGGGGTTAAATGTATCACTTGCCACATAAGTATAGTATATGTTGCATAAGCACTTAATTTGTTTTTGTTGCAACTAAATCATGTAAATCGGATTTCGGTTCCAACTAAACCATTTAAAACGAATTATAGTTGCACCATCACATTTCTCATCCACAAAAATAACAGCGGGTACCAAATGGGAATCATTGACATACCATTTTGAAGAAAATAAAACCTACATAATCATTATTACTCAAATATCAAATTTATGTGACCTTTTTTTAAATAATTATTCCTTTCCCAGTCTCGTCGCTACTTCTCCTTCCTCGCCTCAACACCGTCCTCTTCCATTCCGCAAGAGGAACTGTAGAAGAATTGAAATCCTAAATGCGTGTCTTCTTTCCATTCAGTCATAAACCGCGTTTACAAATCCCATAACATAACTGGAATCACGGTTTCAATAGAGTCACGTGACTTCGACTTGGTGACCTTATTG